TTTGATAATTAGGTGAACTTAGACAAAATAATCCAGAACGAAAGTTGAAGAATGCCTTTGGCAAAGTAAACACAATACATAGCTGTTTATAAAGAAAATTTAGATTGATATTGGCAGTAAAACCATCACAGGAGAAAAAAGCTCCATCCCAAGAATTGAAATGGAGTCCGATCAGAGCAAATTTGTATGACAGCACACTAAAACAAAAGGGATGTTTCAAGGTTTTCAACGATAATATTTATTCCCTGACGGCAATGTGAACAGTCATAGTTATTCTCTTCAACCTCTTAGTGATTTCTCCTTTTTCATAATATGCAATGTCTAAATATCATATAATTGTTTTTTGTAGACACCTTAATCAATTAAATGTCTTATTCAAGGTAATGATTTGAAGACCGGACGGTTTGTTGTCGGCACGATATGTATGCCAATACATTCCTTTTCAAACGCTGATTCCGAATCTGCTTCCGTTTATGCTAATCGTTTCTCTAAAAGAAGTTATGAAGGATTATAGGCTAAGCCCGCTGAAGGGAAATACGAATAGGAACGCCACTGTCGCCGGTATGCTTTGGTGTAGTGGTTAGCGCGATAGCCTTACAAGTTGATGCAGGTGTGTTGAGTCGATTTCGTTTTCCAGTTTTGCTTTGCTTCAAGCTTCTTATGAAGTTAGGCAGTCTTGAGGTAAATGCATGCTCTTATTTTCTTCAAAAATGTGGAAATTAAAAAAAATGATTACTATTTGCGTTAAAATATATCCATTGATCATAATTCGAGCGTCTACTTGAACAAAACAGCATCAACTTTCCATTCACTTCCATTTTTATTATATAAGCTCCCTTCAGAACAAATATAGAAAACACAAAAAACGATTTGTCGTTAAACTTCCAGAAAGTAAGCATGCATTTACTTCGAGGATGCCTAACTTTCAAAGAAAGCTTAATTGAGGTAATGCAAAACTGAAAAAAAAACGAAAATGACTCGAACACACCCGCATCAACTGGTGAGGCTATCGCACTAACCACTACACCACAACATACTGGAGGTATTGACAATCCTATCGTATTCCCCTTAGGCGGCCGAACTTGGCGCAAAAATCCTTCATAAATTCTTTCTGAGAAACGATTAGCAGGAAAGAAAGCCAGATTCGGAATTAACGTTTCAAGACGAGTGTAATAGTATACATTTGATCTCAAAAGCTCACGGATCCCGAGTATCGTCCCCTTGTTAGCTTGGACGGCCTTTCAGAAAGAGGCATATAGCATTGAAATCATCTTGAGACGCTGATTCCAAACATGCCGTTTCGCATCATCATAAAGCCAATTTGAGCATTATTCGCGCAAAACTGACAAACGTCTCAACATGAAAAGACTGCTTAAAGGTAGAAATCTGCCGAGAAAAGATGATGTGTTATCAAAATGCATCTGGTCAAGTTTGTCAGTAACAAGGAACTTAACGCACTACATCACCTAGATTTTGATATCGTCATGCTAGTAAGCCAATGAGCTTGCAAATTTTCCAGGAATAGTTTGACAGTTGCTGTGGAAGATGTGCCGAGCTCAGAATAGCAAATGTAGGGTCAGCTTCCAGATCCCAACGATATATACAGGGTGCCCCAAAAATGTATCGAATGTTTAATCTTTAATAACTTCCCTATATGGAAAGCTTTCGCGGATCTTTGAGTTTCATACGGTAGAGCTGGGTTCAGCTTAGATTACAATGTAGAGCGAGTTACCGATTTTTTTAGTTACCGTAGAATTACGGTAGGAATTTTCAAATAATTTTAAGCTTACGACAGGCGGGAACTGCTTCTAAAAAATTCCAAAAAATTGAAAGACGTTAAACTGAGGTTTTCGGGGATGCTGAATCTAATTACAAACTTTTCCGCTACCGTACTCCTTATCTTCTTGCGGTATGCGCACTGTAACGCTGAATTTTTTTTCCAAAATTCATTAAATCAACGTTGCAATTAGAAAAACACGTCGTCAAATGCCTTCGCGTTAGCCAAAGCGTTACAGTGCGCATACCGTAGGAAGATGAGGAATACGGTAGCTAAAAACTCTTTAATTAGATTCAGCATTTCCTAAAACCTCAATCTAGCGTCCTTCGATTTTTTGGAACTTTTTAGAAGCAGTTCTCGCCTGTCGTAGGCTTAAAATTATTTGAAAATTTCAACCGTAATCCTATAGTAACTAAAAGAAATCGGTGATTCGCTCTATCTGTAGATCTAAGTTGAACCCAGCTCTACCGTATGACACTCAAAGATATGCGAAAGCTTTCCACATAGGGAAGTTATCAAAGATCAAACGTTCGATACATTTTTCTGGGACACCCTGTATATATCTTTGCTGCCAGCAACTGCTCAACAAACTTCTGAACGGAATTTTCTGTAAAACTCTGAATACCAACAACTTTGCAACCCAAATCTTTCCGAGGTGCAGTATGTTGGCATCAATTCCTAAAAATAACCTTTCAAAATTGAAGTATCGGTTTTGCAAAGCTATGGTGGGAGAGACGCAAGGGAAAAGAGCTTGTCAGTTTGACATCGTCTTATCACGCTTGCAAAGAACTCCGTCGCCACTTTCGAGGCACTTCGAATATCAACGATATGTACCTATGGGCAACCTCACATCAGTGAAATCAAAATTCGTTGAACATGATATCAAAATTAATCAATGTGCTAATGATTTGCAAAAGCAAATGCAGCAGTGCATTTTGAACATTCATCTTGACACATCTGCAAAAGCTGTTATAAAATAGTAGTTTGCGTAGACGGCAGCATAAGTTCAATGGACATCTTCTTTGCAGCATTTCTCTCACTCATAGTCTTCATAGCAACACAAAAGCCTTTGTTGAATTGCAACGGAGGGGGAGCAGGACGTAAGTCATTGCGAATTTCCTTGCGAACACTAAGTTTTAAATTTACGCTGTTGTAAATGCAGTCCAAGTATGGATAAATCAGCCTTTAGAATGTCGTTGTATTTAAGCTCATCAAAAGCTAATAATACAACTGAACATAAGATAAACATAGCTGTAATTCGTTGCCAAAATGACTCCGCTAAAATACCAGCTGTTTAAGTTTTCCTAAAACAGAAAAGAGAGGAATGTTGTCATTTTTAACTATTACCCTTGAACATTTGCCCATGCACGAGTGCAAATCAGAGTATAATTCCAAAATTTTCCCTGTACCTGCTATATGTAGTGCGATTCATCAAGTGTTCCACGTCCGCAAATTCCGCACACTTTTTTCAATAAGTTATCTTGAAGAAATCCAAAGTGGAACACTATCTGGAAAATTTATATCAGCTTTGTTATACTTGTTAATAGTATGAGTATGCATAGTAAAACACTTCATTGTCCTAACATCATTTATAACTGTAGTGTATGTGACACAATCTTTCTCGAGTGGGTAGAGGACAATAGGTCGCCAACAGACTCCACCCACTCAGAATAATAATACGAGATCTGATAGAGAGAAATGCTCATTTGTTACAGATGTCGGCGAGGGACCTCCCCTATTATCGACCCTGTCGTTTACCCCTACAAATTCCATCTCAAAATTTGGGAGGGAACCGCAGGAGCCTACTTCTTAAAAGCACAAAATATACTCTCGGATACTATGCTATCTACTCACTGTACACCTTTTGCGATACGCAGCGTCATGACTGTAGCCTTCGTTGCGAAATAATCACAAAAAATGAATCCTCTTTCTCAAAAATTATCTTAATGCAAAACTCTTCAGCATGCGGCGACTTTGACTCGTGCCCAGACAATGCAACACAGAAGTGTATACTAACACCTGGAGGAAAAATGTGCTGTGATCTTGACAAGGTTAAGAAAAGATTACTCTTTGATGATTAAAGGCATTGGATCATGCTAATTTTTGTTCATGCATGCCGGCATATCCATATGAACTTTAGATAACTGATGCTACTACAACTATTGCTACAACGCCAAAACCAATACGTGAGTGAAATAAATAGATTAAATAGACATCGATTACCATGCCACCTATTTTTTTCTTATAGCGACTTTATTATTCTTTTCCCTAAACATTTTTAAGAAATAGATTAGCAATAAACTATGCTTAGCTCTTTTCCCTGTCCTAGTCAACCTTCGTGCTCATTTTTTTGATTAATTGAAAGTAATTATACTGCCAAGGACATTAGTGTGTATTTTTTATTTAGTATGTGTTGACAAAGTAAATCCAAAGACCGGCACTTCGGACTGTCCCAATGTTGCCTATCTGTGCAGTAACAGCATTTACTATACTCTGATGACCGAACAGTGCCCGAAGACGTGTAACAGATGTGAAGGATCTGCAACGGCAACATCAGGCAAGTTGTTTCAAAGTACATTCAAATATCGCGATTCGTCTGATTCAAGCATTCTCTAGAACAGGCTCGCACATAAGCAGAACGATTCTAAAAGCGAAAAAAAAACATTTTTAATGCCTCCACTAGCTTGAAGACATAAAAAACTAATTCTTCAATAAAATGACTGGAGATATGATTAAAGCAACATCATTGAGTTGAGAGCTAAAATAAATCAGTACTACTTTTCAAAAAAATTTATTTGTTGAAATTCTTTCTCTGTATCACCAAGATTCTTGAGCAAATCTCTTTCCCAAATTTCTTGCTTCAGTGTTTTCAACCAAGTTTTTCAAACTAATGCGTGATCGGCAAACCGGGAGGGGGGGGGAGAGGGGAGGGAAACCCTCGAACCGCCACTGCAAATCAAATTGCGTTTTCTTTTCGCTTTCTTTCCCTTGGCCAATTCTTGAAGATATTTTACTTGTATTAGAATGGGATGTTTTGTCCTTTGCTTCAGTGAGCATACCGTTTGAGAACTTAGAGACATAATGCCAAAAAAGCCCAGATTTAAACAGTTTTTCTCTTTCGCTGCTCTTCTGCAGAAAATTGCGGTTCTTTTACATTCAAGCTCTATTCATGATTTTACTGTTAAAATGATAATCAGTTCCAGGCAGTTCTCATGCAACTTGCATGGATAAAGTGAATCCAAGAACGGGAGTCTCCGATTGTACCGTTTACTCTTATCTGTGTTATAATGCGCTCTATAGGCAAGTGATGGCTGAGCAATGTCCAAAAACGTGTAACAAATGTCCAGGTGCAGGCAATTCAGCATCAACCTCAAGTAAGAATAATTAAACTTTTTTGGTAAGAGCTCTTCAAACTATATTTAGCCTGCGTGGATCTAGTAAACCCAAGGACTGGTGTATCAGACTGCACGAAAACATCAAGCTACTGTCGTAATTCTCTCTATCAACAACTAATGCGAGAACAATGTCCTAGAACATGTGGCTATTGCATATGATTTTGTACTTTAACATGCGATATGGACAATAAATAATGCCTATTTGTTTGCCGCAATAGATGTTTTATGATAAATTTGATTTTTGCGGTGCTTTGTCAAGTCTGACCTTACATTTTCTCTTGAAGGGCTGCTTGTTCTTTGTGTTACGATACAGACATTAACATTTCCTAACGAAGCGAAGTTAATACATTTGTGTATGTACTATCTACAGAGAGTATACTGCTTTTGCAAGTGCGCAAAGCAACTAAGATGGCGGCATTTCAGAATGCTTTCATTTATCTGCAATTCTGTGTTGCTTAAATAATCGAAGTCGCAGGATTTTGCAAAGCCAAACTTTATGATGATGTGTAAGTGGAAGAGATTCAAGTCTAACTTATTGCACACTCTTGCATTCGATTACGGAAATCGGAGATGCACCGTTGTCTTCCGAACTCGAAAAAAAACTGTGAAGAAGCTCAAACCGCGTGGCTTCGTCTTGTGAAAACCTTTGTCTTCTGCGGCACTCATATGAAAGAACTTTGTCATGAAAGCCAACCATCACAGACCTGAAGTTGTTTGTAAAACTTTCTATTATTCTAATAGCCCATAAATTTGCAGCAAACCATAAATGTTTACAATTGCAACAATATTGTAAGGGACAACAAAGTTGACAAGCCTTATTGTGATTGCTTAAAGAAATGGCCAAACACGTATTTCGCAAGTGGAACCTACGCTCACCGTTTAGGAAAAATCAAGATACTTTTCTGTTGCTTTTGTTCCATGGAAAAGAGTTTCCACAAGTGAATTGCGTCATAAAAGAGTCTATGGGCCGCATGCATTAACCCCTCCACGGAGAGTAGATCGAGCTGAACAGAATATTTCATATCCTGAAGCTCCGAAGTTCTGGATTTCACGCTGTCTGCTTATCGTAAGCATTCCCATCGTCCTTTACTATGAATATAATGAGCGGGAGCAGTTGTACAAGCCGCATTTTTCAGCTTTTCATATGATCTTCTGGTGATCCTCTGCGGTCGACCGTCTTCTTTTCAAAGTCATTTTTCTTTCTTCAAAGTTGGCGAAATATTTCGTTGTAATTTCATTTAGCCCAACAGTGCTAAGCATATTGCTGATGAGAACAAATGATGTATTAGAATCATGAAATATGCGATGAACCATTAGTCGAATGTTGAGGTTTATCGAAAAATTCAATTCTTTGAAAACTCACATGTTCTTATCAGCAACATGTTTAGCACTGTTGTTTTAGATAATCCGTACAACTTTGGAAAGTTCTCCTTAACTTTGAAGAAAGAAAAATGATTTGAGGAAAAGACGGTTGGACGCCGGGGATCATACAAAAAGTGGGAAAATGCGGCCTATACGGCTTCTCGGTCCTGTCCAATATGTTCATAGTGAAGGGTAGGAATATTTGCGGATAGGTAGGTTGACAGCGTGAAATACAGACATCTGGAGCTTTAGGGGATGAAGCTTTCTTTAAAGCTACGACCCCTCCCGCCGGGGATGTTAGTGCATGCAGCCGTATATGTCACGGTGCATTCAGCACGAGGTGAGCAAAGAAAGCAGCGGATTCAAGCTTCAACAGATTAGCCTGTAAAAAAGATTTACTGGGCTTGTAGGTTGAAAGGAGAATGTTAGATGCAGAAACGTTCATCAATCAATGTTAGTTAATCACAAAAGAAACCATCTTATTCCACATTTCATAGACTTCGTTTAGCTATCGCTACAAAGTTAATGAAATGCTAGATTTATTATCATCACCAGAAACCCACACAATTCAGCATTTCTACAGTCTGAAAGGTTTTCGCGGCTCGTGAGAGAAACTTCCTAATAAACTCACGCGCGAGTTTGCTCTTATTTTTAGAGTTTCAATTTGTTTCAACGCAGACAATGTCTATCGCACTTTTACGCAGGTAAAACGGTAATCTCTCGACGATATTGTATGACCAATAGAAGGAAATGAAAAGCCAAAATGACAACGAAGACAGAACAGCAAAAGCAAGCAAAAAAAGGTGGAATTTGATGTACACGAAAGAACGCAAACAAAATTCTTCATCAATATTCCCATAGGTAAAAAGATGGTGTATGAAAAATCTGCCGGCGTTTTCTTTTGCTTGGAGTTAGCTGAATCGAAGAGTTAAAATCCTCGCAATCATTCTTTGTCATGCATCAGATCGTCGTCCTTTTTTTTCTGAAGATTTCGAGAGATTTAATCAAAACAAAGTTTGATATTTTACATAAGAAGTAAATTAGATTCGAAATCATGTCCTGTACTTACCCTCGAATTGTGGATATACGGAGATTATTGAACATTTAAGAACTGAAAAATATAATTTTTAACTTTATTTGCTGAAATGCATAAGACTGCTTGAGAGTAGCTAGTCTGAAGGAAAACCCAGCTCTTTTCTTGAATTATCGTTTCCCCAATGGCACTTTTGGCAGTACGCGATATCCAGGGACTTTCTCAAACATTTTGATTTATTTCAAGCAGAATCAGTTTTGATTATGGAGAGAGTGGGAGGTGGTACGCGCAGTAAGGAATTATTTGAAGTTCTTTTGTGTAGAGGGGATACGTGCATCCTTGCTCGGGGTTTATATTTACCGAAAACAACCGGATAATAATCAATCCACATGATCAAGCAATTTATTGAAGGGTTCTCTTATCTTTATGCTCAAAAACGCGCATTTACGACAGCTTATCTAGCGCATTTTCTGATTTTACTGTTCCAAACCTCTAAAAAAGCCATTCCCTGTTTCCAATTTGATGGTTGAAATTGGCTTCCCTCTTGCGCTATGAAAAATGCTGCTCTACCATCGCTTTATGATATTCTTTCTTATCTCTGATTTTAGGGATGAAGTGGGCCCTCATACTTGTTTGGTTCTCTTTCGCAACTGCGGCTCCATCATCATTTGATGCTACCTATGCGGACGATGTAGCTAGAAATAAAATGTTACCACTAGCAGCTGCTGCCTATGCGAAAAATCCTCAGACCTGTCTCACAAACAAATTCACCAATGCTGAGGTCCAAATTTTACATTATAAATTTTGAATGCAGAAATGACAAAAAATTTGTTGCAGCTAAAGCGTCAACTCAACGTGAAGTGCGACTCTTTCAGAAGTGACAAATGTTCTGGATTCACAGCAGTCTTGAACGGTGATAAAGCCATCGTACTAAGTTTCAGGTACCAATTTCAAGGATTTAACAGGTAAAATAATTTGCATGGAATTTTTAGAGGCACTGACGCATTTCTACAACTTGTCAGTGAATCCGACCAAAGCGTGTTCAGCAAGCAGGTAATCACGACACGTAACTGTAGACTCACTTTTACAAGTTATAGAATGAAATATTGCTCATAAAAAGAAACTTGAAGGAATTTGTATTCATTTTTGCTCAACCAAAATGGTGATCCGGGAAAAGTCCGGCTGAGGTCATTTTTCTTGAGCAAAAACTAGTAGAGTTTTGGGTTGATAAAACCTGTTGTTGAACACATTGTAACGAAAAAGTTAAAGGTAGAATTTCCAAGACCTCCTTTTATTTCTGCGCAGGCCCTACTGAACTTTTGTGCAAGTAAACTACAACCATTGGTTGTTACACTTTCCTCACCTTCCCCTGGAAAACTCTAGAAAATTCGGCAAAGTCCCATAATTGGCATATCTGGAGAAGTAACAAAGGGCTGTTTACGCCCTGAAAGTCATCAGTTACAACAGATATGAAACCTTTCATGACAACACTTCGATCTCCATTCTTTCTTCATTTTCTATTTTCCCACTCTTCCTTTTCATACTTTTAGATTTTTCATGGACTTCCGGAAACATCAATAGTAATATGAAGGCAGCTCGCAAGTTTGTTCTTCAGCAATGGAAGAAACTTGCGAAAAATTATTCACAAAATTTTCAAAAGGTTCAAATCGAAAGCCCACAACTTTCACATAAATTTGAAATGAGGAATCTTCTGAGAAAGTTTTGAGAATGGATGAGTGTAACAAAATTTATAGCTACCTGAAACTACAACAGCACTGAAACTCAATCTTACAACCTATACAGAAAACTTAGGATTTACAGCTTTTTGAAAACTGTTTATCAAAATTTCCTTCTCTAAGCAACTGTTTAGGTCCTTCATTAAAAAATTTAGAGTAACTTTCGTGAATGCTAGATAGTCGCTTACAAGGGTAAAGCTCTATGCACTTTTACCTTTTCAGAAAAGAAAGATGCCATTAAGTATAAAAACTGGTACACGAGGAGAAACTGTCATATCTTGGGTGTTTTTCAGATAGCTTGGATTGGAGGAGGAAAGGTTTCAAAGTATTTCAACGATGCTTTCATGGATGTATGGAATGGAGGGATGAAAGACGATTTTAATACACTCCGTGCAAAGTATCCCACATATCAAGTTTGGGTGAGTAGGTACTAAGAATTCTTGTGCATCATTCATTTCTGCTGTTTTGTCCGTTATGAAGAAAAATAAACAAACAAAAAGAAAGCGTGAGAGGATCTAGGAGACATCATGAAACTCTTTAGATACTCAAACGGCTATGTTGCGCATAAATTTTGGCTAGCTTTTGATATGGACCAAAAACTGGCATACTTGTGGAGCAGCGATGATTACATTGTTCGTTGCGATATCATATTAAATTTTGAAATAATCTAAATATAAGACTGGCTACTAAATGAGTTTGGTCGCTTTTGCGGCTAATATAAATGCTGCGGAAATCTCTTTTTTAGTAATTGGTTTCTTCAAAAAAGAGCACTTTGAGAGTATTGGAATGTTGATACTGCCTGAATAATTTTTACCCTGTAAAACAAAAGAAGGCGCAAAAAGTGAGAAATCCGAATTTTCTCACTCCTTTCATTTTATCAAGATATTTCAAAAGGCAGATCAGAAATTTTTATTATTTAAAATGGAAAGTTTATGTGGAAAACTATTATATAAATACCAAATTGCTTATCTTTCTTTCCATCACAGCATGAAAACGAAGCTCAATAAATTAAAAAACTGATTCGGTTTAGCCATATAAGGGCATAACGGTCTTTTTTATGATGGAAATTCCTAGTAGTCGATTGATAAAAGAAGTTCTGAACTACTTTCCTTCAGAAATTATGAAAAAAAAAACAATAAGAAAAGTTTCATGAAGGTTTGCACGCCGAAACCTTTTTCTTAGAAATCGTTAAAAATAGCAATTATCAACCGCTCCTAGCTAAACATCGACTTCTACACGATAACATAGTCTCCGAAAGTTTACAACGTTCACCAATTTAGGTAACTGGTCACTCACTTGGAGGAGCCATGGCAACGTTGGCAGCTTCCTATCTAGTTGCTGCTAATCTGGTCCCTGCTGCCAATGTAGAATTGGTCACATTTGGTCAGCCGAGAACAGGAAATAAAGATTTTTCTGCTGCTCACGACAAGCAGGTAAGTTGGAAATAGCTAGATATACCATGGCAGATATTTTGTTATTATTCTGATAAGAGCGCGTGCCCCTGTCTATTCATCTTTTTTATTATATTTCAGATGTCTTACACTTTCCGAGTTACACATTCGCGTGATATCGTGCCTCATGTACCACCGGAGGATCTCGAAGGCTACTATCATCACAAATATGAGGTTTTGTGAAAATTATTGAAGAAACTTTGAAACATGCTTCCATGAAAAATAGTTCGAAAGATGTTTTTGTGTAAAAAAATAATTGGATTCCTTGATATACAAACTGTAAGGCGTAGGAGGAAGAGGAGGAGGAGGAGGAGGAGGGGGGAGGGGTTTTCATAAGCATCGTCAACTTGGCTTAACGGTTCTAATGAGTCCGGAAGCACCGTAAATTGACCTGCTGTCGCTTCAGGACCCGGTTGCCTATATTCAACGCTTCTAGATAAGCTCTCTTGCGGACACAAGTACCGTAATCGGAGCAAGCACGCTGAATTTTTCGCCAACAGTAGCGGTCCGAAATTCTTTCTGGGGGAGCGAAACAGATTTTTTCAATGGAAAAGAAGTAACATTGCTTACGCCTCGAGTTCTTGGGATGCTTCCTAACTTTTCAGTGGCTTATAACACCGCCATATTTCCAAATATCTTCTACAAGGTTGATTTGAATTTTTATTTTTCGAAAATTTTTGAATCATTTACAATACGTGAAAGCAAAAACAGCTTATTTGCACACATTCATAACCAGGTAATTTCAAAAAGTTTTGCCACCCTTTCTCAAAGAGTAGGCGGGAGAATGACTCTTTCCGATGTCCCCTATTTTGCAATCCTTTTGAATTACATTATCTTATCGATCAATATTCAAGTACTCTTCTTGAATCGTAAATAGTGTTCTTTCCTTTGATAACACCATTTGCACAGCCTCACAGCGATCTGAAAATTTAATTCGAAATCAGCATCTAGGCAATCTTGATCGCAAAGGTTCATGAACTAGAACGTACTCAAGTTGTTTTTTTGATAAAGAGCGATTGCTGATCTGTGTCCAGCAAATCGAGAATCCAATTACCTAGATTTCCAAAAGGCTCTAAGACAAAGAGAGTTACGGGGATGGTCTGGTGGTATGTCCCAATTCTATCCGATTAAAAGAACGAGGGTTTGAGTGCAAGATAGTTTACCCAAATGACACGAACTAACAGCAAAAAGGACTCAACGCTATGTACAACAACGAACATTCAACCCGTTTTTGACCTTCTCAGCAGGATTTTTAGACTATCTAAGAAGAGTGATCGACTTTTTTCGACGGCTCGTTTAAACTCCCAGAGCTTCTTTTGCACGCTAGTTGGTCATCCTCCCCCCCCCCCCCTCCTCCCGTTTACCAGAATTTATATTCTGCTGAGAGGTAAACCGCCTTCTTTCGTATCTCCACTAAAAATTGGTAGATTGGTCTTACTTGCCAGATGCGAGCTCGTTTCAGACATGCTATACAATTTTTCTGCACCGTTTACACCGGTGATGGAATTTGAACAAGCCTGACGCACATCTCTACTCAAAGTCTCAGACAATCCGCAAAATACTTCAGGGGAAAACTGAACTTCTAAAACTTCCGGGGAGACCCCTATTGGAGCTGCCAGATAGGGCCCTGCCAGGTAGGGTGAGGTCCACCCGCACGGCCCAATAGGACGTCCGCCCCGGAAGTTTCAGAGGTTCAGTGTTCCCCGAAAGTCTTTTGCGGATTGTCTGAGGTGGTGAATCATTCACGAGTAATTGAAATATGTATTGTATGCATTAGTTGAAAATTTCATTACATTGCCAATTCAGCCGCAATTCAGCCATTCTCCTGCCAATAGAACAAAAAAGGGCTGCCATGCATTTTTTCACTAGTGCAAATGGCTGAACAAATCTGTCCCAAAAATGTACTAACTGTTTCGCAGTAGTTTTCTGCAGAAATCCATTTAAATACTCTAAGGCTAACTGCAACTTGTTTTACAATACAGAAACATAGCTTCGTATCTATGTAAGTAGAAAACGTCACAACTTTCAACAGTTTTTTGTGTCACTGTAAATCAAAAAGTGCCAAAAAAAGCTGCCCGAAGGGAGTAACTCTACTACCGAGTGAAGTTAAATAGCTAATTGGCATTTTTGCTCTACAGATACTTTAAATACGGCGGAAGTGTCGGACAAAAGTGGCTGTTTTGATGCTTATAAAGATTCCATAGTACAACTTGAACAATTCTAGAAGGTTCTAAGTGTTTAACATCGGCTCCCGCGAAAACTCCATAACAAGATTTTCAAGCCTTTTGGAAATTTTCTAGAATGGCAGGTACTCTATTCGGGCATAAATCTACTGCAATACCCCACCTTATTTCACACTAATGAAGAAAAACGAATGATATACTTTATATCCAAGCTACCAACCCATATACCACAGTATTTGAATGTAAACGAAAGCTATTTATTGCGCTCAAAATTCTTTGATTTTTTACGAACTGTATCAACACGCAGGGCGTAACGGTGATAACCCAGGGAATTCTGAAATTCTGGAAAAGCTACAGTAGGAATGTGAAGAAAGGGGATAGACCATACATTGAGAGCATCATCCTTATGCTCACAATTTTTGGGACATAGCCAATTGAAGCTGCAAGTGCAGTTTCTTTCGGAAAGAAAAAGAGACCAGAACTTGTAGAAAGGTCCGAACGCTTGATAAACGGAGTACATATGAGGCAAGCATGAGCATAAGCCGACACTGGCAGGCGAAAAAAGCAAAATATTGTTCTGGTAACAGTTAGTTTGTCTATCGTAGCAAGCGCAAAGAGTACTCATCACCCTCGAAGACTCAAGATTTTCATTGTTTTTGCGTAATGTCTTTATTTAGGCATTCTATCACAACCATATGAAGCCAGGAGCGTCATTTGAAGTTTGCGCAGGTACATTGTTTCGACATAAGTAGGAAAATAAACTTCACAATGTATTTTAGCTGATGAGGACAAAGGATGCAGCGATGGTCTCGATGTCACAACATCAATTGACGAACACTTGCACTATTTTGATGTCGATGTTAACGTTTACGGAGAGAAAGGCTGCAAGTAGACAACCCAGTTCATAAATGATTCAATAATATGTGAAATTAATCTATGAAAAAAGTCACGAGTAGGAACGGATGGTTTCAAAAATTATTTGTTCCAAACAATTACTCTACCGGATCTAGCTAACGCTGAGCTCAGAGCAACAGCAATTGCTTATAGATTGTTCTGGAAAAATAAGAAAGAAGCCCTATCGGTTGAATTGGCTTTTTCACGTGATATTCATATCTTCAGACGCGTGTTCAAACGCTGATTCCATATCTGCATTTCCTTTCTGCAAAACAGGAACAAGGCCTGTGGGTATCCGCATGGGTGTTTTTGTGGAGCTTTTCGCTAGTTTTATGCCACTTATTGTTAGAGTTTGACAGTAGTAATTCAGCACTCATATTTCTTTCGGAGATGTCGCAGAAAAGGAAAGTAGATTTAAAAATTAGCATTCAAACACGCCTCTAGTTGTAAAACAGCGGTTTGGAAAGTCTACTTCGACTGATAAAACTAAAACAAAGCTTTGTAAGGAAATGACAATGCACAGGACATTTCAAAACAGCATATGAAATCAGCTCATTTTTAGTACTTTCTTCCTGTTTCCTAGGTTTTTGAATTGATTGAATATGTGTTAGTGTAGCATAAATTTAAAGTTTACTACGCTAGAAAGGTTTTACTGTGGAGCTACCAGGAATGGGTGTTGTTGGTCGTAGATTATTAGGTTGGAAACTAAGTTTTGCAACCTTCATAACCTTCATAAACTTACTCTTCGGATGTTGGGCACTCAAACTTTGCAATATGTAGAACATAATGCATCTTACAATTGTGCACAAACTATATGAATTTCGAGCACGAGAAGAAATCGAAGCATTCTCGAAGACTAGTGAATTTTGGGAATTTTCGGTTGTAAAGCCTTTGGCAACCTAGACCATGCATAATGATCCGTTGTGTGCAAAATTATTGCTAAAAGTTGATTGATTTGTTTAGCCCTGTAAAAAAAAGAAGTTTGAAATTAACTCGAGATTTGACGCCCTCACAAAGCTGAACGAACTGCTGTACGCAAGGCTGCTGGGGACAAGCGTTAATGACCAAGGAGTTGGAACCTCAAAATTCGCCGAGACTTCGGGGGTTATTTGACCCGCCAATGCATATCATATTCATTTGCGGAATCACCGCCTTTTTTCTTGATTAAGGTAAACCCTAAAGCCTTTTACAGTAATCTTACAAGAAAGACCTTATCATGCAATTTTAGTAGCTTTCGTATTCGACATTTGAATAACCCCATATACCCAGTTTCAGCCACATCTGTAAATATTTATAATTTTCTCCCCTGTTCCATATACCTACCGTAACCCTCACTGTAGCGGCAGAATTTGGAAGGAGAGCAGCTGTGTTTATAGTTTACGTCATTCTACATATTGGCAATATTTGAGTGCGCCATGTTGAAAAAGGAGAAACATTCTGAAATAGTTGCAAAAATCGGTTTCCAACCTAGTAAGTTAAGTTACAACCAACTAGAGGATACAAGTTGTGATCAGCACACTGAGTAATCCGCCTATCAGCGGAATAGTAATCCGGAATCAGCGCGTCGAATTACCCCAGGTAAGCAAAAGACCTCAGGTTGGGGATTTGCCGAGCCACTGCCTTTAAGGGCAGTGTCCAGGCAAATCTGAGCATATCTTTTTTTGCCTGAAATTGTTGAGGAAGCTCTAGCTAAGGCACTGCCTAAACCGCAATGCAAATGATTCATTCACGAAAAATGAGAAATCCATCTCTGAACACTTCGCGGCTACGCCGTGAATGTCCCAGCGCGAACGTAGTGTTAAAGTGAGCGAAGTCATTTTCGGGTTACGGCCACGCAGGCGCGGGTTCGGGACGGATTTCTCAGCCGTGAATAAACAATTTGCACTGCCCCTTGGGCAGTGTCTTAATTAGGACCCACTCACCAATTTCCAGGCAAAAGGCCCATGCGCCCCGATTTGCCTGGACATTGCTTTTGATCATACATCTGGAGAAATTTGTAAAACTAACAGATAACTGGTTATACTTAGCATACACAGTACTCAGACGGCATCGTGCAATCAAAGATGCTCCCCCTCGAGTATAGATTCAAATTTGAAGCCAAAATTTGTTTACTTTGAACGGAGATACAGTGTTGCAGCGCAAATTTTGCGAATTCCGGGCGTTATGGTTTTTTTACAAGTTTTTCTAATGAATGCTTTGTGGGCACCCAATGCTGCAAATGCTAAATGTGGAAGCAGTTGAAAAAACTTTGCTGCAAAGCATTCATTTCTATTACTCATTATAATTACGATATCAAACGCTTTTTTTTGATAAGCCAGATTTTTGTAGTGAAAACCATCGAAATGATAGATAATGGCTGGAAAAATAGTTATTCTTTGAATAGGCCAATTTAACAACGGAAGCAAGTTGCCAAAGTAAGTTATGCTCCCTCTCTTTGGTTATATTTTAACAACATCATATGCAAGCAATGACCGAAATAAGAATGTTCTATCTTTCGAAAAAAGTGGTTTTTCATGCTGATCAATCGACTTGTTTAAACTCTTGAAACAGCTGATAATCTTGAATAGTACGTGCTTATTTATATTTGTATCCTTTGTAGTCATTTAGAACATCCCAACATCAAAACCTTTCATTTATTCGAGAAGCGACTTCTACAATAGGACACGGTTCGAAAATTTGAAGAAGCTGAAATCTCACAGTGCTCGCTATCTTTGAAATTTCACTTCTTTTTCGACTGAAGTCCTGCATCATTGCCAATCAACCTGCACATGAGTTATTATACTATGCTATAAAAAAATTATTGTTTTACATCTGCATTCTGACAAAACCATGGCTTTGCCATGGTCAATTGAAGATACATTCGATCTCAAAAGTTTGGCTATACATTTCACTTAAGCGATCTCCATCACCACTTGTTCTTCCGCGCTAGAATTCAAAGAAGTTTAGACCCAATCGTGCACAGTGCAACTAATTTTTTGACTATAGCCGAGCACGATAGCTGCAGAAATTTTTTTCCATGGAAACTACAAAAAAATTGCTCGTATCTCTGCTATTTGATCAGCTGCGCTTATAAGGAGGCACAGTATAAGAATGGCTCGAAGCATTCGTAGGCATCACTGCGAAACTAAAATGCAAGCACTGCATCTTCTTCTGTCGTTATACTTCGTCAACGTCGGCAAGCAAATATTTCTTGATTGTGATCCTGCCGGATTCAAGCTACGTGGGTTATAGTCACAGCTTCCTTTACAGCGCGAAAGATTGCGAATAATGGCACAGTTATCAGCAATAGTTTAGCATGCGTGCCTCCTTCTAACACTTGCCCTGACAATTCGTGGACTTGTATCCAGATTCGAGGGGACGCTGAGAACACGACATGCTGTGACAATGCTTTTGTAGGTTTATTTCTCTATAAAGCTAATCTTTCTAACTTAGCTAAATAAAAAATTTCCTCTGTGCAAAAAAATCGCGTAAATTCAAAATCTATTGAAGACACTGTCCAGGCAGATCGGTGCACACTGGTTTTACGCCTGAAAACAGATGAGAGGGTCCTAGCTAAGGCACTGCCTAAGCGGCAGCGCGAATGATGCATTCACGGCTGAGAAATCCGTCCTCAAACCCTCCACGCCTGCGCCGCGACCATAATTCGCGAGTGACTTAGAATGGGTCCCAGCGCTAACGTAGTGTTAATGTGAGCTAGCTCACTTTCGGGTTACGGTCACGGCGTAGGCTTAGCAAAAGAATTCTCTTTTCCATCTTTAAGGTCAAACGCTGAGCATCAAAATAACACCGAGTCCTGCATACATTGACGACGAGCCATTTTTTACGTCTCTCCCCGTAGACGAGATGTTTTTGTATACTTTTACGCCTGGCTGCTTGTATATAAGCATGCATCCATGCTAAGTGCCAGACTTAGACAAATGCTGCGTTAACAGAATGCGGTGCAGATACTGTCACTTAGTGTCACGTTGGAAAAAAGTCGAATCGGCCTCCGCGATCGCGATACAACAAAAAATTTTTTTATGGATAACCTTTTCATTCTCATTCTGTGAGGCCTTTGTATCATCTCCTCGAAAACACGTCGCTGCGAACATCGCAGACGTTACTTCGATCTCCTTCCAACGTGACACCCAAATGACAATATCTGCGCCGCATACTGCTGAAGCAGCTGATCAGCTAAGTATGGCGCTTGCCTATGCTTAAGAATTTTAATATACAAGTGAATGGGGGCAGCTCCGCCTCCTTGTTGCAAGCCCGCCCATCCGCTGAAGTTTGTGCTTCCGGCAATCTCGAAAGGATGGCGGAGAGTGCCGCTGAAAAGGCTGGAAACTGCCTGATGGGGGAGAGGGAGGGCAAAATCGAGGTTGCCTAAGGTTTCACGGTTATTTATGACCGCTTTATGCTCTTTGAGCGCAAAAAAATTTTTGTAGATGGTTATGGAGTGGGCGGAAAACGTGAAATCCTGCGGAGCCTAAGTGATGAAGTAAACACTTAGAACAGTTGAGCGCATTAAAGTGTATATTTAGTGTATCGCGCCCGTGCGCGACGCCGTCGCCAACGGTGGGAGGTGGTGTTCTTCGATTTAAAATTTTTTAAGGACTCTTGATATATTTTTTGAGCATGACTTGAAGTTCGCGCACAATTCACAGCATTGATAAACAAGAGCTAAGCAAGCAACTGTGACAGTGAATACTAAGACCAAGCAAACTTATTCAGGCGTCATACTCACGATGTCACAAATCGTCTGATAGAATTATATAGATCTAGCGTACCAAAACAAGTATGACACAAGCCAGACAGTAAAGATAGTCAAATTTGAAGATTTTTATTGGATTTGTATTCTTATGTGTGGCAGAAAACGCCTACTCAGCTTGACGACACCATACACTGCATCTCCACCTCGACAGTTGGATTGCGGTATTTGTAAGCAAGGAGGCTTCTAATTTGCAGCATCATTCCCAGCTATTGACCTTTTCTAAAATGATATGAATCTCATTTCAGATTTACATGTACTCTGAAAAAGTCGCAGTCAAGTCCTCGCCTTTTTGCAAAAGCCGAAAATGGAATTAAGCA